TACAAACTAATGAATAATTTATAGACAAAACAAAACGTAGAATCAATCGAAACCGAATGAACCAGAAGTAATTCTCAAGAACTTTCCAACTTTTTTTCAGAGTCTGCCATTGTAATTCCCATAAATCGGGTCCTTCGCGACATTGGCACTCAGTTCGATAGGTCCAGCAGCGTTCCTCAGTCCAGCACAGAGCTAATCACTTTAATGGCCTTAAATGTTGAGGGCGTTCGGTGCTTGTCGCAGGCTTACGATGTTCTGGAAGGAAAGACGCTCTTGACCTCCCGACACGTGGAGTGGTCTCTTCAAAACAGAGCACGATTTTCCGGTCACTTGGACCGCACGAGGGCCTGAGTGATGGGCCGGGCAGCGTCTCCAGGACCGGGGCTGCGGGCTCTTAAGGTATGAGAGGCGCAGTCTTCATTCTTTTCCTTAAGCAAGGTATTTTTTGACAGCAAGCAAAAAAAATGGACACTGCGCAATATTGTAGTAATTAGGTCGGAAAAAAGCATGGCAATTCCATTATCTGAAAATTATAGAAATGTTCATGCAAAACACACGCGGAATAAACTACCAACCTTATTCAAACCATTAGATAATGCAATTCAAGATAAGAGCGTCTCTCGTGAGAATGCCATAAGTCGAGGCAGATATATATAAGCTACTTTTACATTAAACAAAATTAGCGTGCGAGCTTCTTCGTCGTCTTCTGAATTCGATAATATAACCTCTATGCAGGAATACATGAAGTCCTTTTATAAATTATACGTTTTCCTTCACCTATCAGTTTACAGATGTGCAATCTAACACATAAATGTGCTACAGACGAGCGTATAAACGGGATTGCTGATCTTGAGCCAGCGCCGCGTTGGAGTTTTAAGTGCACAACACAGCTACGGTTGTAAAGGAAAAGAATTGCCTGCTTGCACGCGCTCGTGAAGATAAGGACGCTAGCAGAGAGTTATAGCTCTCAAGCTACCGTGTCAACCCGGCCGAGAAACGCACATGCCCGCATTAAAACCATGGTCCTAACAATAAACCGTTATCTGATTGTGGTGGAACACGAAAAAAATGAAGAAATTATGGCTTGCACACACGCAAGCAGAAGCAGTGAGGCTTACTCGTTGTATCTAAAATATAAGAGTATTACAAGTTTTGAGTATTGTTCACTACGTTATCAGGTGTACTTGAATTCCTGCAGCATGTTTGACTGCGTGTTCAACATCTCATAGCGAATGCTATCAGATCAAGAGCTGGCGAGCTTCATTGTTAACCCTCCTCTCACAAATGCTTGTATCTTCACATCGTGATTAGATCACACAAGAGATATTCAGTAGTTTTATAAAACTTTCCTCTCCTGAGAATACGATAGGAGTCAGGTAAAACTTGCTTCACGTTCTTTAATTGCAAATTATTTTCTTAAAGCTGAAATCTGCCTGACAAAAAAAAAAGTTACTCAGATCAACAAAACCAAGGACCAAAAAAAAATATTCTTCACGAACACATGAATAATAGTTGCTCGGATGTAAAACAAAAACGTACATGATTCTAATAATGTCATGAGAACAATGATGCCTTGGACCGCACCGAACCAGCGTCTCTTGTAGGACACTTGGTGCAATTAGGCTACAAATGCTCCTGATATAATCATTAAGGTAAAAATTTGTCGCGATAGGGTTTTAGCGTCAGTAGAATCTGAGAACGATGTATTTAAATAGCCAACGAATAAAATGAATGGAATTACAATCAGTTGTGCGTTCTCGAAGTGGTGGAAGCGAGGAACTGACTCGACTGGGCGACACTCTGACAGTGGGGGAAAAAATAAGTAGTACTGTCAGAGTGGTGGAATTGTAAGATACTCACAGAGTGGTCCCAATTGAGTGGCGCTGGCAAAGTGGTGGAACTGAGAGACACTCACAGAGTAGACACCTGAGTAACGCTAGCAGAGTGGTAAAACTGGGTTCTACTCTTCAGATTCTCAGGTTGCAACTGAATGGTCATTCAATGTATGATAGAAATGAGTAGACAATTGAGCGAACGTTTACGAAGTAACAGAATATATTGGACGAGTGCCGGCACTCTGAATTGCTGCGCGAACAGAAATTAGTTGCGCGAGATGCTAGCAATCAATCGAGTACTGAAAATCAGTTTATTTCTGCTAACTAAAGTGCAGAACATTAAGAAAATTACGTTTTCCGTCACTAATATAAATCATTTAGTGGTCGGAAATAGAAATGCTGAATAAATTACAGAGGTGTCATATGGCCTCTACAAAGGTGGTCTTCTTTAAATATCCTGCAGCCACATAGGACGACCAATGCATATATTTAAGCCGTAGGTTCCTCCCAGCAGGCGGTTGTGGAGGCAGTGAAAACAGTCCTTCGGGTGCCGAAGGATATAGGACGACGATATAGGAAGCTATGAAGGCCCATGGGATTGTCGGCGGCGGCGGTGGAAGGATTCGGCGAAGCAAGTTGGCACAAAGCGGCGAGTTGGAGCGCCGAGCACCAAAGGATTATTGGAAGCCGATTATACGAGCCGCGCTTTTTGGTTGAGCGGATCACAAGATTGGTGGCCCCAAAAAGGGCCGAACAATAAGCGCCACGCAATGAAAATGAGATAAAACTGGGCAGGTAGCCCGGCGCATCCTCTTCCAAACTCTAGGAATAGACGAAATAAAGTTAAGATAAAACAAGGTAATTGAAACTTTTTAAATGAATCCCCGTTCATATGCAGAAGAAAAGATTAATAACTATGACTGGGCAACTCAGCCAAAAAAATTTTTTTCAAGTGCAAAGGAATATAAAAAGAAAATGCGCAATACTTTATTTCTGTTAATTGTAACAATGTTTCGCGTAAATCTTACTCCATTAAAACATTACTAGTAACTAACACCTAAGCTCACAAATCAAGTTAATATATGAGAACGACGGGAACAAGCCCGTACGAAATAATCTCAGGGGGTAGAAACCCAGAGCATAAATCCAGTCACAAAAGGCAAAGAAATGTTGGGCCGCAACCAAAGCTATTCGCAAGTGGCACACCAAGGCGTACGTACGTAGAGCTCAGATGATAAGCGACCTACGATCGCATCGGAGCTCGGCAACGCGCTATAATTATCACCCTATGGACAGCTCCCTGTGGCTACCCTCCATAAACGCCAACCTCTACCGCACGGCTGCCCCAAAACTTGTCATCTTCAAACGATCCGTTGCAAGATACCAGGCACGGAACAGACGCAGCGCAACAAGTGAGTGATCGCTTAAAATGATTCTTGAACTCAAGCGCTCAGGCACGCATAAGCATCGTCATCGGAAATGAATCACAAAGTAGACTTTCAGAATAGCACTTGCCAGGATCACACTAGAAAATTTTCACACTTCAAAAGTTGACACTTGGGATACAAAAACCTGTAAAAATACGTTGAAGAATGACAATCCGAGGGTTCAACACAAACTGACGTATAAACTGTACATGCGAGAAAGTACGAGGAATACTTCAGTTTTCTGACCAGGTTGCAAAGTAAATATCTTGAAATATGATGGTAATGCTGGCTTTCGCGTTTGATAGCGCGGCAATTACCCTTCTCTTTCTGTAGGTTGAGAGCGCGCAAGATGCTATCGCATTCGCCTAAGTAGCACCGCCCGCAGATCTAACTGTTGGTACTGAAGAATGGACTACGTGGATTTCCTCACAATAAAAGTTGTAAGGTAAATCGGCACTGCCCTGAAATGTGGATTGGTAGCGAAACATTAAGTTTTTGCGAAACATGGAGCTCAGAGTAATGAAATATAGTCCTCCGAAGTACGAACAATGTTCTTATCGCAACCTAAGCTTCCAGGAGTAAACTAATTATTATATTTTAAACGGAACGGAGAAACTAACCCGACTCTTGCTACGCACTGAATACAATTTTCAGCGCCATGAATTATATCTCTCAAATGAGATATAATTCTTTAAATGACATCAGATAAATCAATGCAATATTATTCCTATGAGCAATTAATAGATACAGACTATCCATATCAGGATATTATAAATGTAATAAGATATCAATGAGGCTTAATGTAACTTGTTTGCTGGAATCGTGAATCAAGTAGAAATCTAAAAGCAAAGAAAATTCCACAAAAGTTCATAGTATCATATCAGAAAACGTTTCGGAGTCCAGTTCCATCGTCGGTTCGAAGATTCTAGAATGCAGATAAATCATAAGTTAGTACAATTGAAAGTCAATGAACCGAAGTTTAAATCTAAATTTACAAATAAAAGACAAAACACAATGGAAAAAACGGCAAACCTATCTATTCACAATCTCAAGTGGACAGTAGCTAAAAGCTGAATTCAAACTGGGCCTAGATTTAAAAAATGGACAAGAATTCTAAAATACGGAGAAATACCGGATACGGAAATAAAATACGGAGGTACCGAAAGTAGAAGTTAACATCTTCAAGTCACTGTCAGAGACCGAAGCATTACACTGATCGGCGTGAGTGCGCACAACCAAATGAAGGGGGCGCTATAGCAACTGTCCAGTCCTGCAACTCCTGCCCTTATGCTGAGCGACCCTGGAATAAAGATTGCAGACGTCATCCCGACGTACGCAGATGCACATCGTGCACAACAATTTTGATAATCTAGGGACGATCGCAGATGAACAGAGAGTATATCTTTGCATCTAAAGAAAGAACCGATTTCGAAATAGCTTACCAACACAACATAAACATTTACATTTTGGAAGTATTTCATGGAACAATACTTTTAATTCTCTTGACGTAGCTTCGTACGCAGGGCTGGAATCCGAAACTTTTTTTAAGAAGATACTATGAATTTTTGTGGAATTTTCTTTGCATTAAATTTCTAATCAACGATGCTATAAAGCAGCATTCAATTGGTAGGTAACGCCACTCATGACTTGATAGCCGCTAGTACTGCTAAACCTGATAAATGGTACTAGTAACTAATGGGTACTACTAGATGGTGATGTGAGCAACACCAGTCCCGGCATGGTTGATGCTCCACAGCGGCCGGCACTAACGCTCACCACCACTCGTGGCATGGTTGATGCTCCACGGCGTCCGGCACTAACGCTCACCACCACTCGTAACATGGTTGATGTTCCACAGCGGCCAGCACTAACGCTCACCACCACTCGTAACATGGTTGATGTTCCACGGCGTCCGGCACTAACGCTCACCACCACTCGTGACATGGTTGATGTTCCACAGCGGCCGGCACCAACGCTCACCACCACTCGTGGCATGGTTGATGCTCCACGGCGGCCGGCACAAACGCTCACCACCACTCGTGGCATGGTTGATGCTCCACAGCGGCCGGCACAAACGCTCACCACCACTCGTGGCATGGTTGATGCTCCACAGCGGCCGGCACAAACGCTCACCACCACTCGTGGCAAGGTTGATGCTCCACAGCGGCCGGCACTAACGCTCACCACCACTCGTGGCAAGGTTGATGCTCCACAGCGGCCGGCACAAACGCTCACCACCACTCGTAACAAGAGAAGCCTCGCGGGTCCGTGTGCTCATTGTGAGCAATGCGCTCAGTAGCCGCGAGTAATTGCCTAATAAATCAATCTGTCAATCATTAGCAGCGTCCCTAATTTAGCTCACCTCAGTGGTTTTCAAATTAACTATTCTGCAGTCACTCGTGATCTGGTAATTATTTATACACTAAGGCGAAATTCAGTCAGATAAGAATAGATTGAATTAAAGGGTGAAAAGACACGCATGGTATGTTAATTAATGTGAACTCACAGAGTAAGTTTTTTCAAACGCAGAACAAATTACCAGTAAGTGAAATATTATCCATAGTAAAGTGATTTTAACGCTTCGTTTCAGAGAGAAATAAATAACCTTACTGTGTCAGAGCGATCGTCAGGGTCAACTCATTTTAAGATACACATACTCGGATTAGAAAGAGCGATCAAGATGCTTTCGGTACTAAATGACTTAGCACACACCGGGTGAACAGATGAACATTTGTGCACTGCGGCACCAGCAAACGAGAAGTAATTTTACGAGGGCAATAATAACAGACAATTTCGATAATAAAATTGGGCATAATTACAATGTTTGGATCTTCCGAAATTTGACTCCATGTACAGACTTTGTTATAAGAGAGAAAAACGAAATCATTTATAATAATAAATAATAATTGCCGGGAGTAAACTCAGTTGTATAAAGAGTTCCGTTTGCGAGCGACGTTTATAATTCATACAATATATTTAAAGTTTAAACTATACATTTTAACTCTCTTTTAGTTCAACCATCACCGTCCCTCACTAAGTTTATATCAATTAGATTGAGAACTCAGTATACACAATATTCGCATCCAATCGCGAAAAGCCAATTTCTATCCTATAGTAGAAGAACGGGTCCATTTGTCCAAGCTAGGTTTCAAATGGCTTCTTAATTCGGGAAAAATATCAACTCTGGCAGGCTCAAATTTCCACGAGCAGGTTTAAGAAACACCATCATTTTTCTATCGGTATGCGCCATAAAATGCGGAATTGAAAGAGTGTGTCCGGCCAGTGACGGCACAGCATCGATGTCTCACGCGAGCACAATCTCAGGGAAGAGCCTCATATTTCAGAGGACACCTGTTAGCGCCCTGTCCTGGCCTAAACGAGAGCATCAGTATTCTGGAGAGGCTGATAACACGGCAATCGCTTGACTTTAACAACCGCCAGCCCGTAGCCAACTCCGCGAGCTCTGCCACAAGCTCAGCTAACCGGCGCCGGCCGTCGAGCAACGTTCAACCGACGCCTTCTGACTTTCTAATGCCAACACACGTACGGGACGCGACAAATTTCTGTATGGTGGTGTATGGAGAAACTCTTGAACGTTAATGCCCCAAGTGAGTAAGATAACACGATGTTTTAAATCTTTAGAAAATTAGGAGAGACCGAATGTGGTAAATTCTACAATGCTACACAAATTATGATGAGATCAACCTCACCGTGCAGAGAAAACAACTCCACTTTTTCAAAGGAAAGACTCCAATGGATGGGTTCGATGTGTCTCAGATTCCACGGAGGTGCCTGGAGACACGTCTGGGCCTCAGGCAAGGCCAGATATGATGCCGGTTCTTTCCGCCCGACCAATCTGTCTCCGGCACAGGAGATTGCAAGTGATGAATTATTCCATGGACAAGTGATACCCAGGAACCTGTTACAGTCGAGCGTAAAATCGAGTCTCATAAACCTCCCCGCAGGTCCTCTTATGAAACATTGAGTGGACTGCTGTATTAAAGCACAGTGACTGGTCTATACAATGCTGGAATGCGCGAAAGAAAAATCAATAATGTACGATGAAATCAGAATTTGCGCAATAAAAATATCACAGAATTTCATTTTACAAAACAAGAAAGACCTCTCTAACAGCTCTTACAACTTTGCCAATGCTTCAATAACCAATTAAATGGATCTAGGAAGAATAGCGTAGCACTTATGGCCGCAGTTCGTCATCAAACAAGAGCTTTAAGGTAAAATATGGGAGGTAGGCTATGTTATAAGACGAAGAAGCGTGAGTAGGCGCGATAGATCACACCGCCCACCTACAGTACAGATCGCAGCGAGCATGAGCCCTAATCGCAGAGCTACAAACATGATAAAGGCGTTACAAAAGTGGGCCTCGAGTGACGAAGTGCCCGTACAACTCAGCGATGAGAAATCCATAGTTCAAGAATGCCTTGGTGGAGTGTCAGCTAAACGAAGACTTTCTCGAGGGCATTAGAGGGAGCGCCCCTAATGACAGGATCCGAAGCATGAGGGCATAAACCAGAGTTAACGCTTGAGTCGAGGCACGCAATTGAAGGTATGTGACAATATGGATGTGTGTTCGTAGTTCAACACATCACGCACACACAATTGCCGCACTCTTCACGCCAAATGGCAGTCATTAGTTGGTCGATTGAGTCGTCATAATGCTGCCAGCACCACGCACTCTCAGAGGTCATCGCATGCGCACAACACATGATTGTGCGCTCACTGCAGTGAGGCAGTGAACGCATGATGGTTGTGCGCTCACTGCAGTGAAGACATGATGGTTGTGCGCTCACTGCAGTGAAGACATGATGGTTGTGCGCTCACTGCAGTGAAGACATGGTGGTCGTACGCTCACTGCAGTGGGGCAGTGAACGCATGATGGTTGTACGCTCACTGCAGTGAACGCATGATGGTTGTGCGCTCACTGCAGTGAAGACATGATGGTTGTGCGCTCACTGCAATGAGGCAGTGAACGCATAATGGTTGTGCGCTCACTGCAGTGAACGCATGATGGTTGTGCGCTCACTGCAATGAGGCAGTGAACGCATGATGGTTGTGCGCTCACTGCAATGAAGCAGTGAAAATGATGGTTGTCGCTAATAATATATATCCAATATTTTTTATACTAGTTACATAAAATGAACCCGACTCGTAGGCAAAACATTAAGAACTGGGTAACCCATCACGGAAAATATGTAACAAAATGTAAGAAGTTTTAGTTCATCTACTGATGCACACTAAGAGCAAAGACTGAAAGTAGGCAGCTATGCGGTCATTACAGATCAGAATGCAATTGTAAACCCATTAATTGCCCCCAGTGACTGTAATAGGTGTCGTTAACTCCACATTCTAATTGCCAAGATCAATAAATACAGTCTCTCGCCATAGCCCTGACTGTAGCGCAGGCCATTCCAAGACACATCGCGCCATAGCCCTGACTGTAGCGCAGGCCATTCCAAGACACATCGCGCCATATCCTGACTGAAAAGCCTCGCTATTGCGTCGTCTGGAAACACTCTTACTGGAACAGACGACGTCTACATGGTGATTGGTCGGTAGACGTTCACCGGCCAACTATACGACGCCTGTGATTGCCAACACAGAGTGACGCCACAAGGACTGAGGCTGTAAACAAGGGCCCCGGGCTTGCAGTGCCTCGGAATTGCGTCCTCGGTACCAAAGGAATCCGAGGGCAAGAGGGTTGGTGTAGCCTGGACGTACAAGCTGAACACTGAACACGAGCACAAATTATAGCGCCTCTCTTAATTTATTATCACTTTATTCATATCAGTAACGCGAGGCCACAAGAAATTATCCCCGGACAAGTACGATTTACCTGCCGTATCCAACGAAATCATTTTATTTCTTATAATTCACTACATCAGCGGGCAGTTTCTAACATGTAACTGACTAAAATATTCCGTCGACCACGCCACGAAGAGCCTCATTCCACGGATAATCGGAATAATCCTGCATATCCTGGAATATTTTCTATCTCCATTACAATCAAGAGTAACAAAAATAACATTCGGATGAATCGGGACCTTATTTCGAAATCAGCACTCGGAGAACTGGTTGAGACTTTGTCCGAATATCGATGCACTTTTTGCTCCTGTGTGGGCCATCCTGACCCAGCGTGGTCCGGCGAAGGACGCATCACTATTACGTCTCTGCTCGCATCGTTATTGGACAATTTCAACCCATTTTTCTTAGTGAAGTAATAGCAAATAACAATAATTTACATGCTTAAAATTCATGTTTTTTTATCGACATCACCTCAATAAAATGTATCCACCCATGAGGATAACTAAAAAAATGAACTGCCAACGGAAAACAATAATCAGGATTGGTAGCGACGACGAAGGGAGCATTTGCTCGGCGTTGATCAACAATACGCGACCATAATAGAGTTCCTACTGTACGAATGCAGTTTGTACAAGCGCCCCGATGCCAAGGCGGATAATGCCGGATATGCTTTCAAATTATCTTCTTGAGGTAAAACGAATTAAAATCCCATTTACTCAAATATCTAGTATTTGAAGGATCTTTTATTCAATACATATACATAGTTTATTGCTTTATTCATGAATTGGCGGAAACTGAATTAAATATTTTCGCTGAAATATCGATCTGTAGTTAATATGTTGCCGATAATATAACTCCATCCACTGTCAGAAAAAGGAACAACCCGCAACCCGGGGACCGCTGAGGCTCTGCCACACGAAAAGCTTACGTGGTACAAGAATCAGAGACACAAAAAAATGTTCTTAGGAAGCCAGGCGGTCTTGAGAGGCATTGACGCTAACGAAGTTATCGTCAGACACTTGAGTGACGCGTGGTGCTTGTCAACGTAGCGAAAGCTACGCAGCGTCGTGTGGGCGAAATAACGAAGTGTGGGCGACTGGGCGTCGTATAGCGTCGTGTGGGCGATCTAGAGATGGGAGCTTCGGCAAGCGATGGTGTCCGCTAATAGTGCGAGGCAAGCGATGGTGTCCGCTAATAGTGCGAGGCAAGCGATGGTGTCCGCTAATAGTGCGAGGCAAGCGATCAACCACTTGAAATCTTCATTGTGTTAGCGATTGATCAATGCAGCTCAGACTGGGTTTCGTGTAAATATGGGAGCGGAGCATAAAAAGAACAATCCAAGTTCGGTTTTTCATGTTTAATTGAATCATGTAACTCATATTTTAAACTCTCGAATATCAACATGTATAAACCGTGTAATTGGTAAATTGAAGATAGATCTGGATGACCTTAAAGCGTGGTCATTTCAATGCGTGT